ATTATATATTATATTTTTTATAATGTATTATTTTTATAAAACAAAGTACTTATATCTTCTTCCTCGCTCAATATAATTGATTGATAACTGATTAAAATATTCTTGCAAAAAAAAAATTAAAATTTGTTGTTGTTATTGTTATGCAGATGTAAGATTTGATTACGCATTGTTGATATAAATATAAATTATAATATATTAATCGAGGAAAGTTTAACACACCAATGAAATTATGCTACATTCCGCTTGTATCACAGTCGACTAATCGCCATGATTGTCGCCAACGTCAGATAATGGTCCAAGAGCGACGCCATCCTTTGTCTAAATTCTCGCGCTCTCCCGCTTCGCTTCATATGTTATTTTACATTTTTTTTGTAATCCGTTTACTTGTATTTTTGGTAGAATTTTTCCGTGTAAGTAAAAATACCGAATTCACTGCAACTTCTCTTCCAAGGACACGGGAAAATCAAAAGACAGATCATTGCGCAATCGGATGAGAAGTCTCCATTATCAAGAGCCGTCGGAATCAGTGACAGCTTCCTGATTAGACTTATCGTCGTTCAAGCATATTCATTCATTTTGATAATCGGCAACGAGCCCGTGCGCAACGTCATATTACCGTCTCGAACGACAAACAATTGTGAAAGTCACTGCATCAGCAGTGATTGACAATTTTTGGGGTGGAGATCAAAGAGACATATTAGGTGGAAAACCGATTACAGACATCAAAGTATGCATTGTATCAACTAAACTATTAATATAAATTATATAATTAAATTTTTAATTTTGTTATATAGTTAAGAATTTCTCATTATTATATATTTATTGCTGTCTGACACTTTAAAGTACATTTTAAAATTAAAGTACATTTAAAATTTATTATTATAACTATTGTTCAAGATACTTTCTTTTATTTGAATTTATTTAATTATAATTTGAAGGACATTCATTTTTTAGAGAAATATCGAAGTTTTACTATTTCCTATATCATAAGCAATTGACTGATTCTAAAGATTATCATAAATAAAATTAGAAAATAAACATATAGATAAAAGGTTTTATTTTTAATTAATTCAATTTTTAAATTAATTATAGAAATTTTAAAGTTAATTTTAAAATATAAATTTTTAGATTTTTAAGTTTAAAAATTTTGAAATTTATAAATTTATAAATGCTTTTTCCTACAAGTTTAAAAAAAATTTATAAACATAACGAAATTTGGAATATATTTTTCTTATTTATTCTTAATCAAATACGTATTACATATTTACATATTTTATCAAAAAGTTACATATACAGTAAAGTTACATATACATATTTTATCAAAAAATGTTTAACAATAGATAAGCATTACTGTATAATGAATATATATTATGCGACATAAACGTGGATCACGATGTACATGTCCTTCTAGTTCAGTAAGCGCTTCCTCGAAACGTCTCTTCGCATAAACCACCTCCACATACTTTAACAAATGATCCGTGAGACATCGTTATGCATTTATACTTGGAATACCGTATTTTCTATCTGCCTTGCGGAAACATGTAGTACACTCGTATCCCGTTCGCCTTGACATCATAGCGGAATATCTAATATGTACTTCTTCGAAATCATTAGATCTTTCTTGTATCTTTTCATCGATTTTTCTATTGTAATGGACTCATCTAATAAAATATTGTAAATTTTATGCTATGTATAATCAATGACAATATATACGAACAAACAAGCTACTCATCTTCTGATAATTCTATGTTCATTCATTCTAAACACTGAAACATGAAATGTTTCAATACTGTTGATTCTATTGTCAAGAAAATTTGTTCCTTTGTTCTATTCAAGTAAAGTTCATATTTCATATTTTCGTCAACAAGAATCGAATCCTTACTTTTCTATCTACTTAAGCCATTACAGAAAGTCGGCAACGTAACTATATTGAATTATTGATTTATATCGATTTACCAGTATCGATTTACCGTATTACCAGTTTAATGTTTCTCTTTCTCTTTCCCTCTGGAATAAATATGTGCCTGTCAATACTCGCATTTGTTGATACTTATATTGGTTCTCTCTAGCAATATTAATTCTAATTTGCTTCTCTCTATGCTCTTTTATCTCTTAATTAAATCTGTAAAAAAATACAATCTTATAATCTTTTGACGATAATTTACACGCATACAAACAATTCATATATAATTTTACAACTCGTTATCTTTGCTATTTTAGATCTTTCCACTAGCACATCTGTTACAAATCAACGTTTCACGGCCATTCTATGTTTCGGATAGTCGATCCACCCCCTGATTTCAGGCAAAACGCCAGCGAGTGGATCTATAAGGTCAGTCTTGTGACAGTAAAAACGTGCGGTCAATGCGAAATTTACCCTGGAGGTCTCTGCCAAATGGGTCACTCCAGTGGAAAGAAGAGAGAGAGAGCGAAGGTTACGACGACGGAGATGTCACGGAGCCATAAAAGTCGAAACGCTGCCCGACACGAGTGAACGTGTTCGAGACGTAGTGGCTCTAAGCGAATTACCTGGGATCCACACGTGGATCTCAAGGTGCGCAGCCTTGAAAAGCTACGATGGCCGTGAGATCGATTGTTCAGTCGCACGATGGTTTCTCATGCGATCTTGATATCAGTGTTAGTAGTCGTACAAATCAGTTGTCGATTTCGTAAATCGTGACGTTATTTTATTAACAATTATCCTCGGATAATTTTCTCTTTTATTATATTATTCAAAACGTTATTAATGAGAATTTCAAACGTTATTAATGAGAAATTATGTAAATCTTATTATTAATTTGATTAAAAATAAAGTGATAACTAGAATATATATTATGCCATCGCAGTGTTAATAATAATTGTTTGACCATTTTGTTATTGTTTAAAATAATCTCTGACTTCTCTGAAACAATGTTATGCCATTGCATGTGTTGCTCGTCACTTTCGCTCTAGATTTACTTGTTGTTATCTAATAGATTTGTTTTGTTATTTTTTAAATCTATGATATACCACAGAAAATTTATTTGTTTTATAGAATTAATATACTCATTTAATATATTTATTATATTTCATAATTATACAAAATAATATCATAAATAATATAAAACAAATATTGATTACTATAGAACAATTTCTTATTTTATGATGCTTTTTAATAATAAAATGAAATTATTATAACATTTTTTTAACTTATAATAATTATAATAAATTATCACAAAATTATTAAAGTTAAAAATTAATTTTTAATTAATTAATTTTGTCATTAAAAATATATCACACTTTGTTACTTATATATTCAGTTGCTTTATATAATAATTTTTCGATTTTATTTCAAGGAAAATACATATAGTCGATTCAATATTTATAAGATATTATCCATTAATAAATTTTTTAAATTAAATAATTTTTCAATGTTTCATTGGGCTTTAATATAATTATAGAAAAGAAAATTAATAGCGTATAGTATTTTACAATAATTCATTTTATTAATGTATTTTAAAAATATTAAAATTTAATTTTTTTACTTTTCCAGCGTAAGAAATTTTGAAAATATTACTTACTTGTTTATAGATGTTATTTCTTTGGTCGAGGGAGCCAACTCCGAATCCCAGAGCTGGTCCGTGGTTTGCCTGGTTTGCAACAGCTGTCCTGTTGTGGCGTTGTCGACGTCGCATCACCAAAGCGATTTTAGCGATCTCGCCATTGAAATTGCTAAAGAGACGAACCGCCGGTCTAGCAATCAATCAGAAAATAATTCTGAAGCAACAGAAAAGACACAGTCTGGCTCAATTACACAAACATAAGACTGTCGGCATACGACGGGCAAAGCGACTATGCACCGGCGATGGCCCGCACGTATCTGGCAGCATGTCCATGATTCCTCAGATTCACTACAGAGTTACTAGAAGCGGCAGGATTTATGGAAAATATCCAAACAAGACCGCCATTCCAAATGGTAGCATTTAAAGAAGCCACTGATGTATTGCGCTAAGATTATTGAACTCTTGACTTACTATCTTTGTTCCTGTAAAAATTTTGTGATTGTCATTGTCGTACTGTATGTCGTCAACGTAATTTCATACTTCCTAGAAAAAGAATTAATCGTTTAAATATACCATATACTTATATCCCTTTTCTTAACTTAAATTCATTTAAAAGACGTGTTGTCCTTTTATATATTGTCTGCACAAGTCTAAAAATAATATATATTATATAGTAATTTTTCCATGCCCTTTAAAAATCGAATAATTCTACCAGAATTTAATAATTTTGTACATATTCTGTAAGATTGAGAAGTAAAAGTAAAAATAGAAATAATAACAAAATAAATTTAATTCGACTATTCACGATTTTTATTATAATATTGGCATTAAATACAAGAATTATATGATGCAGATATACATTTTACATTTTAAGAAATCAAATAATTGCAATCTCCTTTCAATCAAATATATTTGAGATATATTTTCTTCGATCGTCAATGAATTCAATCGTCTCTTCGTAAAAGAATTTATTTTAGTGTCCTTGACAGAATTTGAAATGCAAAGAGGTATCGTGGTAGTTGGTATTTTAGATTTCTAGTTGCATTCTCTCTCTCTCTCTCTCTCTCTCTCTCTCTCTCTCTCTCTCTCTTTCTCTCTCTCTCTCTCTCTCTCCCTTCATCGACCAACTACGAATCAATAAGAACTGCGTTTAGGACGCCTAGTGCGTTATACAGAGTGTTTCAGTTTTTCCAAGTTTTCTCTCAATCACATTGGTTTTTCAATTAGTTTACAAATACGAAACTGTCAAGATAATCATAATTGGAGATTTCTAGTTATTACAGATTACAAATTTTAACAAATAATTATTTTATGCATTCCAGATATTTACATATTTCTTTCTTTACTTCCAGAAATTGTTGCATCTTTAACGTAATCTTAATTTATATATTAATAAAATTATGAAAAGCTTTAATATTTAAAAACGCGTATCTTTTTTATAACTTATATTATTATGTAACTTAAATCTAAATTTCTAAATGAAAAAGAAAGATGCTTTCCGTCCAATTGGAATGATGGAACGTCTAAAAACATCTTTCCCTAAGCTGTCGCGCTAGCGGTGTATCGCGGAAAAGCGCTCGTTGGCACAACCTAAGTAACAATGAAATGCTGCAGAACTTTCGTATCAGAGATGTGCCAATTTGAGCGGCACAATGCCCGCGGTTTCAGAATGAGCGAACGCATGGAACGTGTGCGTTGTCGAGTAGAATGGTACGTAACTATGCCAAATTTAATCATTCAGTAGCTGTGCTACGTCACTGACATCAGGGCTGTGCTCGTTGCGTGTTATTCTAGAGAATCTTTTAATAGGATATTTATAACAAGTCATTTGTTTTAAATTTCTTAAATTATACTTCTCTTTTCTATTCGTTTATAACAAATGCATCACATTATCTTTTTTAGTTACAGTTTTTTTAAATTTTAAAAGAAATTAAAATATATATTTTAAAATATATACTTATTAATATACATATATATGTATATAATTTGTCAAACTAAAATTTATAATATGAAAAAGATGATATCATTTTATTAAAAGATTTTAATTATTATATTTATATCAATTCACTTCATGCAACGTATTTCTGTATTTTGATATATTTATGAAAGAAAGATTTTTATTTTGTATTCGAGTTTAGTTACAATAGTAAACGGATTGCGTATAAGTAGTAAAGTATTTTTATTTCGTAAAAAATAGTTTACTGACGAACAAGTTAACAATTTAAATCAAAGCTAACAGCATGAGGAAATGAGTAAGTTAAAATGATTTTGCAAAGAGTCACATTACCATGCAAAATTCTAGCTTTAGATGCTTTAAATAACTATTATCGACCGAATAAAATTCTCATAAACTGCCTAAAAACCTAATTTAAATTTCTATTTGGTATAATTATCAGCGTACATAATCATTTCATTAAAACAATCGGTGATTTTCTGGCTTTAATTAAAAGGATACGAATAAATTACGTGGAGACTAATTCATCAACATAATGATAGTCGATAGTAGATGTCAAATAATTCATCTTAAACAGAAAAATGTTGAAATTTTAGCATCTTATTTATTTATAAGAAAAGGTTTGAATTTTTAGATAAAAATTGAAAATGATTCTAAAATAATTTTATTAAATAATTGTTACAAATTGCTTTTGTTAGTTACTGTTGCAGTATAATTTTATAAATTATTTAAAAACATTTAAAAACAAACTACAGTAAAAGAAAGATGCAACCTAAATCACTATTTAGGTTGCTATATTATTGACACTGTAAGATTTTACTTTGCAGAAGATAAAATGATATTATAATTATCGATTGAACGCAGCAATAGATATTGATTGCATTACCGATAATTCATTAAACTAAATTGAATATATTGACAGATTCATATAATAAATCCTGCCTTCTGATGAAACTAGAAAAGTTATGCTTTTCGTCTGACGACAACGTAGACGAAAAATTATTTAAAAACTTTACATACTTGAATTTACATACTTTGTGTTGCGATATTTTTGTTTATAGGATATGAAGAAAAAAACTAAAAACACTTTATTATATAATTTGATTCTCAGCTATTGATTGAAACTAATTAGAATTCGATTGGTTTAATTATTACTGAGATATGAAAATATAGATTGGCTTTGGGTTTCGAGTAATAAAGCTATGGGTGCCTTGCCACCGTTCTATACGATTTCGCTACGCGTGAACTTGACAACGAGCCGTGTCTCTTGATTATTTATATGATAAACTATTTATAGAAAAAAGGATTTAGTCAACTCTATAGGACAAACTGCTTATTGTGAATTGTATTGATTCCATTAGTTAATTAACTATTGACTATACTTTTATTTATTTCTATATTATCCTATTTAGAATAAATAAGTATATATCTATGGAAAATAGACTTCAAAATTTTGTATTAACATAAGATTAATAATATAAGATAAAATAAAATAAATAAATTATTTAATGACAATCTATATAATTTACATATGTATAATATACGTTTTATATAATTTTTATATTTATATTGGCTTTCGATTATAGTTTTGATAGCAAAATTCTTTAAACAAAGAATTGTTTTAAAAAAATTTATTAGTTTAAATAAATACATATATGTATACCTAGATTAATGTATAGACAATAAAGGTTTGCAGCAGATCAGTTAGACAAGATCCTGAACGTCTATTTTTATTTAATTAAATAATTATCTTTGTCTTTATTAATTTATTTAAGATATTTTGTATATTATAATTTAAATATTGATTGATATAATATTGGTTGATATAAAAATCTGATTAATTTCATAAATCTTTAAAATGCATTTAGAGCGGAAATGTCACGAAAATGTCCGAGGATCGACAAGATGACGAGACATTTCAATCTCACTCGTCGAGGACAGTTCAAAGGCCGGCATAGCCATAGTCAGTTCTTAAGAATTTAAGATCTTCTTAAGTCAAATTTCAGATCGTCTTAAGATTCTGCTCAGGCAATGAAATGGCTGTATAGCATTTTGAATTTGTGTTTAAGATGATCTTAAATATAACTGACTATGAACACCGGTTAAAAAATAATAATCAATCTGATGATTTTTACCACTGATTCTTTTCGCTCATCGCAATTTGACAAACTCGAAAGCGCTAGGCTCTCGCAATGCGAACAGGTTCGCCGTGACAATAATGTTCAGGGCATTGCGACAGCAGGGTCGCAGCCTCGAATGCGCCACGAAAATGCCCGGATGGAAAGGGTGGATCGGGGGCGGCGCGCAAGCGTCGTCGTCGTCGTATCGACGCTTCGACGCCCGGGCCGAGGGAGAGAAACGGATTTCTCTTCACCAGTAATGATAGAAGTCCCGGTCGGGATCGAGCGAGAGTGCGAGTATGCGCGCGTGTGCATAGCGGTGTGCTTTCGCGAATGCATCTCGGGTATATTTTTCTTACAGCAGAGCAAAAAGAATATATATAAGACGACGTCATAATACGGAGAATAACGACGACGTAAGCGAGAACAGACAGAGAGAACGACGGGTTATCAGCATCTTGTTTGTCGCTACTTATCTGGCTGGGTTCGCAACGAAAAGTGGCGCGAGAGGGTGGTCGAGAGTATAAGAGACTGCAAGAGGCACCGGCAAGAGCTGCTGGTGCACGCAATCAGGATGCGATCGAGGAGGTATGTGTAGTGTCAATTGAATGTGACCAATGGTGGCAGTGAATAGCGGAGGCATACAACATACAGAATGCCCGAAATCCGTTGCGGTCCGACGTTGCCATGGACCGCAATGTCAGCTTTGCCTCGAGCAAATATATTGAGATTTTGAGAAATTCTGATTTTTGTGGACACTCCCTGTGTTATTTTAAGCTATTATTTTTATTCGTATTCTCCGTACGTGATGTGACACTTTCCAATTCATGATTCGGAAACTGCGAGTAGATAAGGCAGGAAAATAGGAAATATTTAAATATAATTTCTAAATGTCTAATACCTTCTAACAAGCGAGTTTCTGTTCTTTCTCGTGCTGCAGCCATGAAATCTTGCGCAATCATGTATACGGCCGGTTGGAATTACATTTATGAATATTTCACAAAGATAATCATTGTATCTTAAGATAAGTAAAGAATATATAAAATTTTTAGAACTTTTTACGTTTTTCTCTTCAGTTTTCTATTACTTTTCAATTCTTTGTTTTTTTTTTTTTTTCTTTCGTTCTATATAATCCTTAATTGCGTCTTGCCGTATGAATATTAAATCTCATTCTTCATTTGGCTCTAGTTAATTTATATCACATAATATTAAATTGAATATAATAAAACTTGTCTGTCACAATTTTATATAACTGTACAAAGCGTAAATTATTATTTAAGATATATTTATGTTTATTCAAACAAATTTGAATATAATAATGGTTCGTACTTAAAACAAGTAAATTATTTATAACATATTTACGACAATTTAATTTAAATAAAAATAAAATGCAAAAATATTCTTAGTAATAGTATTGTTAAAATCGTTTATTCGCGAAAGAATTTTATTTATTTCTTTCTGTACTTTTCATTCTTTTGATTTTTAAAACTGTTACACAAAAAGTTACTAATAAATATACACATAATACACACATAAAAGACCACTGAAATTTCATGTCGCGAGCTAAGCACGCCGCTGTGTCGTTCTGAAAATCTGCGATGTACATTGACTCGCGCGCGCGTCCGCTGCTCGTGGATCACCCCTTATCACGACATGCGCATGGTTGGACAAATATTCGGTTAACTAAACAAAAGGGAGTAGCTGCTCGGACATGGCTTCGGTTGTTCATCGCTGTGCATTCTGATAGGAGAGTGTTCTCGCTCCGACGATAATTGAAGAGCCCCGCCGGGAAAAGCGTCGCTCTATGTTTTTCTTTTTTGTCAGCCGCAATGAGAACATGCCGTTGATTGCCGTCGGATATGAGAATAGATAAAAATAGCAGCGGTTCGAACTCGCGAGGTCGTGTTTGACTCAATCCTTTCATCCTTCGCGTAATCTCTCGTACAGCTAGATATTGGAAATTTAATTAAATTAAAAAGTTAAACTAAAGATTAAGTTAGAGATTTAATTGAATTGAATTAATTGTATTTTAACCTTTGAATATTAAGAAAGATTTAAAGTTTAAAAAAATTAATAATAACAATTAAAGGCTCTGTGTAAAAATAAATCAAGTGTATGAATGAAGAACTCTATGAGCCGAAGATAGATGATAATGCTAAATATATTGTAATAAATATTAACGTTTACAAAAATTTATCACTGCAATGCAAATGTTTCGATCTTCAATAGTCATCTTCAATACAAAAACAATCAATAAAGATAAACAAAAATAAATTAAATAAAACATTATTTCTGATACATGTCCAATTCAATTAATAAAAATTCAAGACGCCTTACAGTCCAAGATATAAAATTCATATATAATATAAGAAGAGTCACAATACTTCTTGAGTCGAGTTGAGTTGATAAAATTAATTGCATTAGATATGAATACCGAATGAGCCTGTCACATCCATATCAAAACTCACGATAACAGCTTCTGAGATGTTTTATTTCCGTTTGGTCTTCATTACATCAAACATATTTTTGTATAACATCTGACCCAATGATTAAAAACAATTTTATTAACTTCACTCGATGTAAGATGAAGCTTTGCGATTGTTTTCTTTATGAATTCTTTATATCTTGGACAACTAACGCGTTTTGAATTTTTATTAATTAAATTTGACATGTATTAGAAATGACGTTTTATTTAATTTATTTATTTAGCTTTGACTCATATAGTTTTTTGTTCATATTTTCTTGATCAAAATTTTAAATTATTATTACTTAGTAATTGTAGATTATTTAGAAATTCTTTCAGACTTTTTAGATTAACTAGTTTTAAGATTGGAACTTTTATTGATTTTGAAAATAATAGAAAGTAATAATTTTTAATTTTATATTATTTATTATCTCATAATTATTGCTTTATTATTTATATTAAAAATTTTTTTTAAATAGTTAAATGTATATAATAAATATAAATAATGATAATAGAAAAATAATTATAATTTGATGTATATTTTAACTGAAGTTAGTTATTTTAACTGAACTAAGTTTGAATATCAAAAGAAATTTTAAAGAAAAGTGAAAGTATTAGAATCACTCCTAACTTAAATATTTAATCTTACGGCGATTTAATATGATAAAAATATCATTGATAATATCAATGTGTAATGTTGTAAATATAAATGTAAGCTACGATTATCATAACAGAATTTAAATTATTTTGATAAATGGAGATTATTTAATTGTTTGTAATCACGAAATTAATAGATTAAATCTAAATTTTTATACATATTTTATTAAAACAATAATATAATTGTAATTCTCTCATTCTTTAAAATTATAATAAATTTTTAATTTTAAATGAAATAAATTTTTAATAAATTTATTTTGTTTTGGCAGCATAAGTAGATATATATTTATAGAATATATATTTATATATTTAGAATACATATTTATATATTTATAACTTAACAAATAGCACATATATCGGAAATTATTCTACAACATTCTAATGCATTTATCACATTGTTTCAGCCTTTATTTATATCATATATTTTATTTATAATATAATTGCAAAGTTAAAAGTTATTTATATTAAAAATTATTTGAAAGTTATATTGAAAGTTAAATAATCTGCCTTACAATAGTTACTAATATTGATACAAGACTAATATTGATATTGCTATGTGTAAATGATTATACATCAAAATAACACAAAATCATCATTTGACATTTCTGTTGCAATTTTCTGTCTTAAATAGGCAAATATTATATATGTAAATTTATTTTCATCATGCCACGCAAGAACAGAGTAGGCAGATATATGTATAACAATTTTATCGTATATGTGTGTTCTGAAATGACCGAGTGCTC